CACAGCAAGGCGGCCTTCCTCCCCTAGTGTAAAATAAACCTAGTTACAAATAAGCTAGTTACAATATGCAAATTCCTCCCACAGGACACAGCTGGTGCCTCGGTCGCAGGAGAAGCGGCACCGACATGGGCAGCTCCCGTCCTCGCCCTGCCCCTGGGTTTTGCTCCATCCCGAGTCACCTCGGCCACCTTCTGCCTGACTGGCCTTGAAAAACAGACACCACCGCTGCTTTTGCAAGTCAGAAAACCCCCTGGAGGAGGCTCCGACTGTGGAGTGCGCAGTAAATAGGCAGGCTGGCTGTGGCTGTACTCCTCTACAGAAGAAATCAGTCCAGATTTTCCACTGTTTTGTTTATACCCGGTATCTGATCTGTAAAGGTACTAAAACCAGACTTGAGCCCATCTTAGAAATGTGCTCCAGCTGATTTGGTCATCCTCAAAAAGATGAACAGCTTTCGAAATTGGCAGATCAGGGCCAAATTTTGTCTGTCTTGACTTAGCAGGCAGGCATAGTTGAGGCAACTCTCAAATGCTGGAGGCATAAAAACGAGGTGGCTAAGCGCTAAAAGGAAAAAAAAAACCCACTTCTGAATTTCTTTTAACATATATAAACAGAAGGAAAAATTAATTAAGTGAGAACCAGCGCTACTGGTGTGCTCACAAAGGGTCAGGTAGATCTTTTGGAAAGGGCTGAAGCGTTACAAACATCACGGCCGCGCAGGTCTGCGACCACAGCACTGCCCCTGACTGCCGCGTTCGCTGGGTCAGGACAAACACAGTGTGTCAACCACTGGCCTGAACGGAAAACGATCCCTCCGGATTTATTTATTCCTACTAAAGCAAAATCCTGTTAAACAGTACGTAACTCTGTGTCTCTACAAACTCACAGCTATCTGCCAAACAATAAAAATTCCAAACTACAAAAGATGAGTTGTATTCAGTAAATATAAATGGGAAATTTAGGCTTTGTGTAGAATGTTTATCAGACTATTTACAGTGCAACACAGATCGTTTGAGTTCAGATCTCGCCAGCTTCTCTCTCTTCTGATCTCTTGGAACGAGATTTGCCATTTGTGCTCTCGTGCCGCCTCTCAGAAGAGCTCTTCTCTTTTCTCTCTCTGTCTCGTGACTTTTCTCTTGAAGATCGATCTCTAGAAGATCTGAAGTACAAAGTAAACCATCGCTATAAGCTTCACAACTAAAAGAATTTTCAAATATGCATAAAATTACAACATCTTCCCCTAGCAGGGCTGTGACATAACACAAGTTTCTTACAGAAATGTGCCTAGATACTGCCATTTCGGGAGTGGTGTCCCCCAAGACAGCAACTCTGGTCCCTCTACAAGCTTTATGCAAGGGAACACCAGTTTTGCAGCGCTGAGTGCACGGCACAGGCTTTGTTACTCTCTCCTTAAAGTGATCCTTTCAAGCTGTTGCCACAGGGGCTCTCTGAGGTCTTCCCTGGGCCCCTTACTAGTTTCCTGGGCCATACTAAAGTGCCTGCGATTCCTTCCTCATCTATCACTCAGCTCTGTTTGTGTCTTCTAGAGTGTTTTTTTCATTATGCTCTAAGCTAGTGGCTTTCTGCTCAACTGCTTTAAATACCAACTGTATTCTTTGGACTCAAACGCTTGCGCAGCTTTGCATCCTGACAAGTGTCGTCCTTGGCAGCATCCTGTGTTCAAAGCCAGGATGATACAGATTTATATTCACAGCCCACAACGGGCAAATCTTTTCACAGCCTGCCCAAATGACCGCTACAGATTTTCAGCAGTGCTTCGCTGTATCGGCCCACACAGAATTAAGCAGAGGGCTTCCTACTAGGTCCAATCTGAAAAGGCTGCTCTCCTGTGTGATTCATGCCAGCTTATCGACTAGCAGCCTTCAGAGGGTGCTGATCCCAAATGAGCTCTAGCGGCCCGCACCCCTTCAGAACGAGGCAGAGGCTTTCACAGACCCTGCAGAGCCAGCATGTTTTACCCCAGGACTCAGTACGCAGGTTTTTCTTTACAGTCGCAAGAGGAGGACCCGGCAGATACCTTAGAGGTTCCAGCTTTCATTCATGCTGATTGTAAGGCTTGGAAATACTGCACAATTGATATATTAAAACCTTACAGCCCTCTGTATCACATAAGCCATTTCATTTTCATTAAACTGTGTCATTTAACCAGAAGACAACATGAGTCTGCCTGATGAGATGAACTCTCTTCCTGTTCCCACAACAATGTCTGCTGCCCGTAGTCCTCCTACCCTGAGATCTCCAGATCCTGCCACGGGCACTCCACTTTATACAAGTGAGACCTCAGACCAGAAGAACCTGAATGCAGGTTTCATTAATTCTCAAGGTGAAAACAGAACCTACGCTCTTTCAGGGAACAGGGTTTTTCTGTTTGTTCTCTTGGTTTTATTTTATTTTCTTAAACTGATTCTGGTCTCTCCCCAGTTCTCAGTAATTTTGTGAAAATATGTCAGCTAGCCAATCCCCCTACAATCTCGATGGGCTGATTTGAATGTGTTCAAGGTTTTCGAAGTAATCCCTTACCTGCTCTTTAGTAATAGTTATTACAGGGTCTTCCTCACTTCCTAATTGTCCAAACTTCTTTTCTTTATTTTTCATGTTCAAGACAGATTTAAAAAAGGACTTTAGTATCTCAGCCATTGGAGAATCAACAGTATTTACATACCCCCCTCAATTAACAGACTTATTTTTTCAGACCATTATTTCCCTCCCCTTCATCAGGTATCTTTAAAACCTGTTCTTACCCCTTAGCTAAAGTGACACAAGACACACAACAGTAGGTTTGTTTCTAGAACTATACTTGAGTGGTGGTACCTAAGCAGGTGAGACAGTGCTAAAGCACTCCCCTGTTAATGAGGAGCATTTAAAAAAAGCCAGATCTAACTTCAGCAAGCACCCGGTGATAAGACTTGCTCCTGGGCTTAGAAGGGCTGTAAGGAAACACAATGATTCCTTTCAATTTTTCTAATACTCCTACGTATGCTTGCCTCATCCTTCCTCCAACACACTGGGTGTTTTGCTGAGTTTCAGAAGAGACTGAAAGCCCTTCTTTGGACTACAGCGCTTCTCCTCAGTGACAGGAGAATGGTATACTCCTCCTCCTGGCTTCCTTTTCCCCTCCCTCTAGTGCAGATTCCTAAAGAACTGTCTGTCTCTCTACCAGCCTTCTAACAGAAGACTTCCCCCAGATCCCAAATCGTACGCTTCCTTCCCCTTGGCAGCACTGAGAGAAAGAAGCTGGGAAGCAGAAGATAACCATAGAAATGTAACGTCAAAACTGCCTCTTAATTACTTGGCTTTTACCGGCCTGGGGAGGCTCAGTTAGCTCAAGCAGGCCTTTGCATGAGAAGCAGCACAAGACAACCAGCAATTTCTCAAGGCTCAGCACTGCAAATCAGGGAACCAGTTCCATCTCCCAGACTCTCAAGCCGGGATCTCGCTGTACAGCTACTGCCCTACTGCTCTCACATGAGGCCACCTATGAACGGCCACTGGGAAATCCCGCTTTGGCCCAGGAGCTGGTACAGGACACTGCAGCTGCTAACTTGAGAAACCGGTCGTACTCCTGCTCACTCTAAGGGACTGGGGAGGCTCACTGCGATGCCAAGGACTCCCCTTTCCAGAAGCACTCGTGTGAGGAATACATACTTGTGTTTTGAACTCCTGTCTCTGGACCCCCGTCGGTGACCTCTGCTGTGGCTGCGGGAACGGCTCCGGTGGCGTCTGTGTCGGTCTCGGGAGCGGGAGCGAGACTTCCGCCGTTCACGGGAAGCCGATCTCGAGCGTCTTCGCCTCCTATCCCGAGACCGTGATCTGAAGAGGACACAGATTGCCTCAGACTCAGGAGACTGGCCAGTACATCGGATCTGTACACCTGAGCCCATCTCTCAGACATTCCCGAGTAACAAATACCCAGAGCATCAGCACTCACCCCCCCCAGCCGCATCCCTGCCAACACAGAAGGCAGATCACCCACAGGGTGGGCATCTCCCTCCTGAGCCTCACGCCTCCAACAAAATGCCAATGGGTAAATTCAGTTTGCTGGGAAGCTCATATAAAAAGCTCCCACCATAAATGTAAGCATGTGCTGATGCCTACAGCAAAGCTTACCAACCGTGCCTCACTCAAAATGGGCCTGTATAAGTAGAAGAGAGGCCAAAGTAAGTGGCATGTGAAATTACCATAACCCATATGGCAGTCTGCCAAAAGAGAGCCTCCCTGGTGAAAGTACTGCACTTCAGAGGCAGATTTGTTTCAATCTGCTCTAAAAACAAAGAAAGGGTGCCAATGTACATGGAAAGCAGTAGAGAGGAAGATGTCCAGGTACGTGATCACAGAGAATGCCGTCATACCGTTAAGGTAAGCTTTTCACAGAGATGTGGGGCTTTAATCTTGAATGTCTTTATTTTTACATCTGAGGTATAAGATATTTAACAGATATATTTCAGGCATTAAAACTATGAAAGTATATTAGACATTTATTGAAAGAGGCATCAGGTACATTCTTAGACTCGTACTCGGGAGCACACAGCACCTCTGTCCTGACCGGGCTAGCCAGCATCTGCCTTCTAGCCCAACGGGTGACATGAAGTTGCACAGCAGCACTGCAGTGCCCATGCAGTAGTTCCCATTTCTTTCAGGGAGCAAAACAAAGAGGCTGCGGGGCACTGAGTGAACTCCAACTGAGACCCAGGAAAAACCTCAGTAGCTAGATAGAAACACAAATAGGTATTTGGGGGAACTGTAGGAGAACTGTACACTCACCTTCGACGATCTCTATTTCTTGATCCAGACCTAGAAAGAAGAGGAGAGTTAAGCGAGAGAAGGTATGACTAGTCAGTGGGTTTTCAGTATAACAACCCATTCACCCTGGCAGCTCTTCACAGGAACACAACAATACCCCCAGTAACACGTCCGTTAAAAAAAAGGTTGCCATAAAACCATTAAAACATTTAATTATCTTCAATTTGTGGGGGCAGGGGCAATGGGAATTTGTCAAAAACTGAAGAACTTTGTAGAAATACTAGTTTCTACATGCAGAGCTTGTCAGAACAGAAAAGGTTCAGTCTCTGTTAATAAAACACCACAACGAACCTCTCCAACTTTAAGTTTGTTGTGCATATTTCATAGATACTTTACCCTCTGAAGCCTAACATCAACTAGATCAACTCTAATATTTTCAAGAAAAAGTGCCACTCTCCAGTCAGAAAGACACTTGAGAGTTCTCCAATTATGGTTCCTTTGAGGTAGTTGTACATTAAAAAGGTTTTAATAACGAGAAAATACGGGATTTTCTCACTCCTCACATTTATTTAACATTAGATGGAAATTTGCATCAATGATTTTTTTTCTTGTTTGGGAAAGATGAGCTAGAAAAAAAAGAGAAGACACAGACACAGGGGAAGAACTATTTCTGAAAAGTAACTGAGATACACAGAAAATCCTTCATCCCAGGCTTAGAAAGCAACTTGAGAACAATCATCCAAGACTCAACTATTCTTTCTCACATTTCCATGGCTTCAGAGCTCATGTACAGCACTCTAACCTTAACGCTGTAAGCATTAGCTTTTGACAGTCTGTAAATAACAATGTCACAACTCTTTTACCTTCTGAAGGGCCATTACGCAGCACCACTTAAAATATCACTCCACGTGAAAGATACGCCCTCCCTTTTTCTCTACGGTCACGTTTCAGAGCCAGCCTACACCAAAACTTCACACACTGTCTGAACGGTCTCTTTTTGCTTTACTTGAGAAGCGGCCGGTCTCCTTGTTTAGTGGACCAGATGAAGGAAAAGCTGATAAACCAGGAGAGCAAGGCAATAACCACACACCTCCTTTTTCATGTAACAGGACCTGACAGAGCAGCAGGACCTCCTGTAGATGCCTGGCAGGCAGTGGTGGTTGTAATTACTCCAAGTTCTTAATGTTCTTTTCCTCCTGATCACTTTATTCTGAATCACCAGTGCACACAGCCACACAAAGCCATTCCACATCCCCTGAAAAACCCTTCCACGCCTGTGATCTGAGCAGGATTTTGCACAATAAACTCCCGATAATCACTCCCTAGCGCTAGACTTCAGAATTCAGGAAGCATCCAACAAAACAGCACTTTCCTTGCTAGCCTGAATCAGTATACAGCCGGAGACAGTAGAAGACTGCTGTCCAGAGAAGTGAGAGGCTGAGCTTCCCCCCCCGCCCCCCTCTTTTTCATCCCAGCATCACAGAGGCTATGTGCTGAGTTTCATAACCTGTGTTTTGTCCAACTTATTACAAAGGAAATCCATTTGGCAACTGCACTTAGTCTTGTTTGCTGGTGTACTCTGGAAGCAAATACCGAGGTCTGCTCTTCCAAGAGCTCTCCACAGAATTTTAGTCTTAAGAGATTACTGGGTAGCCCGCAGTCACCGGCAAGTCACAGTCACCAAACAAAGGACTTGTGCTTATTTACCACTAAGGGTGACAACCCAGTTCACTCATTCCTATGTGGAAATCACAGTTTAGTTGACAAATTAATAAAGTCTGCGAGAGCTGCAGTTTCACAAGTGAATCTACAGGTTTCCTTAGTATGTCATAGTGCCTATAAGCCACCAAAGACTTCTCGAAGTCAAGTGGTACTCTTTCTCTTACTGAATAACACCATGAAGATGCTGCATATGAAGATATGACAAGAAGAATTATGAAGGCAATGTATTTGCTGTGGTTCCTTCAAGTATCAAGCTGTGCTTAAGAGAGGCAGTCTGAAAGGCAGTAGAAGTCATTGATTAGTTTTTGATGGAATAACGCCCCATAAGCATGGTGTTGCACAGCTCCAGAGGAGAAGGTGCTGAGAAATCAAGAAATGTGGGCTGTAGTCCAGTTCTGACACTAAGCGTCCACTGGGAAAACTATTTTCCTTCTTTGGGTCAAGCCCCCATTTTGGAGAGGCAAATAATTTGACCTCCTCTGTATGGCACTCCTGGCTCCTTCGTAACATGCTTTTCTTTGGTACCTGAACAAAGGAGCACACAGATGCCTCCATACAGAGCGAGAGCAAAGGCTGGCCACAGTCTCTAAGTACCGCCACAACCAGCAAGAACTCATACTTTAGACCAACTCAGTGCAGTTCTTAAACCCTTCACATTTAAAGCATTAAATATTCAAAAGTGATCTTCAAACCCCCTTATCAGATGCATCCATACATGGACTACCTGTGAATACAAGAGGCTCCTTAACTCTCAGGAACTGAGATTAAAAAAACAAACCAAAACACAAAAACAAAACCACAGACATGCCACAGGAGGAAGAAAGCCAGCATTCTGGGGAGATCCGGAGAACTCTTCCTGAAGGCAATTCTGTTGAGCAATTTTCACACAGAAATGAATGCCAGGAAGAAGAGGCACCATGGAGACAGACAGACTGAGTACAGGCTAAATGTGGTCCTCACCGTGGGTCAGAAAGAGCCTGCCACAAAGCAGCTGCATGGGAAGACACTTCTTGTTTCATTTCCATCTTTCTGTCTGTAGCAACAGCATACATCAGTCCCTTTCGATTAACTCCTGCACTCATCAGCCAGTTCCAGATTCTGCAGCTCCCAAGTATAACTGCATTACTGACAATCTTGCATGGATGCCAGAAAGTTGTGAGGCTCTATATGAAGTGCTGCAGTTCAGGAGAAAGCTGCAGCATGAACTGGCGTTTCATACGACACAGGGAGAGAAAACCCACATAAAACACCCTAATTGGAGAATGCATAACAATTTGGGGCTTACATCTTCACAATACACCAAAATCACCAAGCCGCAGACCACAGAAAACCAAGCTGCTTCGATTCTGGTATTTCTTTGCTAGCATTTCCAGCAACGTGTACCCAGAAGCCAGCACCGTATTAGAGCATACTGCAGTTATGTATCTCTCATGCCTCGGACATGGATGGCTGAAACACACTCTGCAGTTTACACCAAGGGTCAAAAAGAGCTTTCCACAGGCAACAAGGTTAGGGTTTTTGACGCAAGAAGTACAAGAGGAGAAACACGTGAGGTAACTGTGAGATGCTGTGACAGTGAGAATAGCATTCCTCCTTAGCCACTTCCTCTGCCTGACCATTGCAAATAACCACCCTCTCCACACCAGGCTGTTTAACTGAGCTGTTTACACACAAGGTGCCTGTTCGGTTCAAATAAAGAAGAAATAGTTTTTCCAGTTCAGCTGGCAAGAGGCAGAAGAGCTTGTCCTGAGAATACCAACGTTGCAGCCACTCCCACTGCCCAAGGATTATACACGTATGAGCAGAAGGTGACACATACGGCCACAACCACCAGAAGCAGCCACTCCTTGGGATCCCTCGGATCCCCTAGGAAGTGTTTTGAAAAGCTGTGCCAAAAGCACGTCACTGTTATTGCAGAAAAGTTTCTGAGCAAGACAGGCAGCCCACCATCTGGCTCATGGATACCAGCTCCATTCTGCTACCACCTCCTAGCCTAGAAGTGAGGAGGGCTGTCCAGGGAATTTTTGCATGACTACTGCCTTTTGAGCAGACCTAGCCCTCACTCATCTTAAACTTTGCCACTCAGATGCGGGACTAGATGAGGGCATTTTATCCAGATTCAGCTTCCCAAAGACAGGGACTAGACCAATGTAAGCCTGAAGATTAAAGGGAGCTCACATCTTTCAGATACACAATGGAGGTTAAAACAATACACATACAATCACTCTAAGGTGGGGGTTTTGTCCATTTGTTTTCATCTTTAACTGAATGCCAAGGTGCTCATGCAGCATCTGGAGCATTTCCAACAGCTGCTCCAGCAGCAGATGCTGCTTTCCTGCAGTGCTCAAATACAAGAAATGAGACTATTTCACAACCAACTTCACAAACCAGTTATCAGCTTCCACTTACCGTCTGCCCATTCTCTCCTCTCGTTCTCTCTCCTCTCTCCGTCTCAAACGATCCTGGTTTCTCTTCTCTTGTTTTTCTGCCACTGTTTTCTAGAAAAAAATTCACATCGTATTTCAGCCATACAGTAACAGGTCAGAGAGATCTGCAGGGAGACTGTTCAGGTAGTAAGACAAAAAACTGTTTCACTGCATTTTGCTAGTCAAGATCTCCATCAAGGTTCTCATTTTCCTCGCAACTTCACTAACATACATCAGTGCAAGAAATGCCACTCCCTACTCTGCTTGTGCTCTCAGAGGCAAGCGCGTAAGCTTTGAGGCAAGGACTGTGTCGCCATGAGTATACATGACACACAATGAAACAGCGCTCTGGCCTTGTGACAATGATCAGTCGAGGCACTGACCTCGATATACTGCCTGAATAAGGCACAGATATCACAACTCTTACTCGAGCAGTCTAAAGGTCTGTGTTTGCAAGCAAGGCCAGTACCGCAACTCCACTACAAACCATTCCAGGAAACTTCTAATCACTTCAGCTACTGAAGACATTCACTGACAGCACTATGTGAAACTTCAGTTCAAGCATTTCGTTAAGAGGTCTGAAAGTGCTCTTCAATAGTCAAAAAACCCACAGTGACAAATTTCAGCCAATGAGAAACATGCAACTGTACCATTGCTCTATTTAAGGAAGAAATGACAGCAGTGATCTGGTTTGACTAATTCTGAGGGTACTTATTTAGTAACCCAGAAATTACAGAACATGTGAGGCTATGCAAACCTCCATTTGAAGTTTCAGGGATTCTGCAGTCAGAAATTTCTGGGCTTCTGCAGGCACTCTGCAAAGAATCCCATATGAATTTAATAGAAGTGTTGAATGTCTTCAGAACTACAAGGAGAAGGTTTAAAAGAGAGAGGATTACCCTCAGCTGATCCAGTTTCTCACGAATCTGAATGAAACCCAAGTGTAATTTGCCTCCAAAGTGGTCAGCAAGACGCCGGTCGTTGTCATGGAGACCAAGATAGGCTGAACAGACTTCACACACACGCAGCTTCTGCTGCTGGAAACTGGATGCAGGCATTGAATTTCGGTATTCTTCCTAAAGGGAGGCAAAAAAACAGGCAAATGTCAGGGAGCCCTTACATAGTCACAACCCTCCAGGGAAACCCCTGCAAAGAATTGCCCTGCCGCTTTCAAGAATCAGAAAGACACCCTCAGTATAAAGGAGGTGCCGTACAAAACGCTTTGCGAGCACAGCTAACCTGACAGTCTACTCCTGCAAGTGACTAGTGACCAAATATTTCAGAGGACGAATCCCCCCCCGCCCCAGTCAGTTATCTTCACTAGATAAAAATTTCTAAAAAGCTCTTCTTCATCTATGACGCTACACTGCCAACTGCTTGCTGGCACATGGCTGAAACTGAAAAAGGAAGTACTGGCAACATAGGAAAAGAGGTAGGAACCGCCCAGCTGTTTGTCATGTACTCAGCCTAGCTCAGTCCGCTATTACAATTCATAGGAGAACCACGGCCATACCTCTGCCTCTTTCTTTTTTGCTCGGACTTTCTCCACTTCCATCAGGATCTTCTGAGACTCGTCAACGTTTCCTTCAGCTCCCAGCTGTTCAGCTTTAGCTAGGAGTTTTCCAATGTCTTCATTCAGCTCATGTACTTTCTCTGCCTAAAGAGAATAATGTCTTTTAATAAGACAAAAAACTTGCTAAAGCTTGCAAGATGACTTTTCTTTTTTCTCTAAAAAATATTGTTTAATAAAAGCAGTTGGTAGATGACCATAAATCTCCAAGTCAAAGCAGTCCCAACAAAAAGGGATTGGTGGGCCGAGTACAGGCAATGCAGTCACAGACACATAGCAAAGAGAGAAACTAGACATGGAGAGGACATCATCAGTTCTGCCGCAAACGGTGGCAGATTTCTGGCTTGCAGGACAGGATGAAGTCTGCAAAACCAGCTTCAGAAATACTTTGTATTGTCCCAGTGAAGCAAGTTCCTAAAGAGGAAACTCCATGAGCATTTACTAAGTGAAAAGACAATAATCATGGGATGGATTTACTATTCTAAGCTATTACATTAACATGGAATAGTGTGGGGTAAAAACGATATACTTTATTGCCATGCTAAAGCAACCTATTTTAGAGTTCATGTTTTACACTACTATGGCCCTCTGAACCAGTAAGTTTGTCACAAGAACAGCCAGAGCAGCATTTGAGGAGGATGGCTGGAAACCACAAAGCCTTTGTGGAGCCTAACTTCCCGGTATCAATGGTGTCAGAGTGCTCTCACACAGACTTGCAGAACAAACGTTTAATGAAAGGACAATACCTTTGCAGACACTTCAGCACTGATCTCTTCCTGTGTCTCAGCCAGGCGTTTCTTGGCCAGTTCTGTTCTCCTATCACACTCCGCGATGAAGGATTCCAGGTGATCCATCGCCTGCATGTTCGGACAAAGAATTGTGAATAAAGATGCTCCCCATGCCAGATCTAGCTTTGACAGCCAACAGCTAGCTGGTGCAATCCCTGGATAATGCACAAACAACCTCAAGAATGGATGCCTTGAGAAAAAAAATATATGACGCTTTGCAGAAAAAGTAAAATTTGATCCCTGCCCTTAAGTCTGTCATCTGCCTGGAACCTGACACAGTTCCTTTACTCTGACACATAACAGAATGCTCACATTAAGACTGCTTTGCACTGGAACCTCCAACACACGAGCAACAGGTGCAAAGACAAAAGCACTGGAATAACGTAAAAAGGGAAGACAGAATTGTTCTTCCACTTGATCTGTTCCATCACAGAAAGCTAAATCTGGCAAAAGCGAAACCACAGAGCAGAAGGCTTTTAACGTCAAATCTTCTGGGACAGGCCACCAGGTTACGATGACCTGGTACAGAGCAGCAGGTGTGGGATGCAAGGAATGCCAGAGAAGCCTCGCAGCTAGCTGGACTAATGGGATTGCAAGGACCATAATTACTTTTACAATTTCAAGTCAGCAATCAATCCGGCATTTGGGCAGGGGCTGTACATTCTTGTCAGATAACACATCAAATAACATGGCTAGCTGCAATGCCCACTGAGTTCTATTGTTCAGCCAAATAACTTCAAGACGCAGTTTCCACAAAGGTAAAAAGAATTTCTCTGTACTCACATCCAGCTCAAAAAACAGGTCTCTCTCTTTACTTGCAATCTCATAATCTGCTCGCAGTGCCAAGTCATGGATCTTTGTACATTCTCCCAGGTCCATTCGCTGTTGAAAAGAAAAAGGAAAATCAATGGGAGAACCCTCCATTATGGCAACAAGCAGCAGATACTTAACTCTTGCCACCTGTATATCAAAATACAGCCTTTTTAGGAAGAAGAGCTTCCTCTTAACCTGTCAGCAACAGAACTAGCCAGAAGAACCACATGCTTGCTAGAATCCCTTTTCTAGGTGTTCCTGGAACAACATTAAAACACCCCAAATGTTTTAAGTCTAGTCCTACTCCTGCTCTAGGTCACAGCACAGCCTTAGAAATTGCTGGGAGGGAGCTGGGAAGGCACAGCATACTGGAGCAGCGACTCCTTCAATGGGCACTAACTCCAAATGCCTCCTATTACAGAGCTACAGCACAGCGAAACATACAGCTTTGTTTAACATTTAACCCTGTTTAACGCTCACCTGGAAAAGCATATCTCTGTCAGGACGAGCCCTAGTAACATATTGAAAGATACCAAATCATAGAACACAGACAGAATGCTTCCTATCAAGAACAAGTGGACCTAAGGGAATAAGAGGTATGGCCAGTAGAAAAGCACAAACCCACACTCAGCAACAACAGACTCGTAATTCTACAGCTAGCCCCTTCCCACATTCAGCTGCAGCCTGGAATTTTAAAACCTGCCCAGCAAAGCTAATTCCTACGCATAAGCCCATCTAATGAGAGACTTCTTGAGAGCATCTCCCTTCCCAGAAAGCTCTGACTTGCATGCTGCCTGTCATTCCCGTTGCAGTAGATGCTATTTAAATTTGTTATTTTTCCCCAACCTAGTAGTTAACAGCCACATGAAACGAAGTTAATTATGCTCTCAAAACATGGAAATTGCATTTCGACATTATCAATATGTAACAGAGAACATTTCTCTCATTCTTAAAATACAAAAAGAATATGACATTTTGAAAGCCAGAATAATAAAAGGCCTAAGTGTGAGCCACAGTACGAATGGCAGGGTACATGTCATCACATGAAGGAACACCCCAGCCAGCCATCCTCTTCTCTCCCAGTCACCACCAGTCCTGAGAAGCCCAAACCTGAACACAGCACAACAGGTGTCAACCCACTGAACTGCAGAAAAAGCTAAATACAGCTAAATCGGGATCAACACAGAATCCCTGCAGAACATCACAAACTAGAGCTGGGGGTGCCAGGGACGTTTATGTGAAGCAATGCACTCAGAGAGCAGCAATGAAGTGTTTAGAATGAAGCAAAGCAACTACAGGAAGCTCCACCAGGTAATGCTCAGGTATTCAGCAGTTACCTGTGTTATTAGCTTTTCTTTTTTAAACAATTTCAGATGGCTTGCCATTATTTAGTCTTCCTCATTTTGCTCAGATTTACCAGAAACAGGAGGCCACTGGTAGCAGGCTACAGAAACAGACACTGCATCCAGGAATAGTCCTGCTGAGCTCTCTAATGGTGGAAATTTAATGCCTACAAAAAAAAAAACGTTCCGTACTTTGAGCTTAATCATGTTCATCTTCAGACAAGCCTCTTCAAAGAACGCTAGCGAGCCGCTGTTATTCTACCACAAAAATAACTTTCCACAACGGCAGAGCACAACATGACTTAAATCTTTTATTCTTACGGTCATTCTACTGAGATCCCTTCCCAACATAGGGAGAAAATAGTGATACTCCACGTGATTCTCAAAGACCCTAAGTATTCTTATCTGAACTCTTCTTGCAAGCTAGCTCCACTTCAGAGAAGGGTCTCCAACCCAAAACTTCAGAAGAGCCGACAGCGTGCTCCGTATTCCTCTCCCTGTTTGTTAAAAGGCAACGAATCTCTCAACCTCTTCCTCGAGGAGAGAACGTTTAGGCCTCACCAGCATAGAAACCTCAAGTCTTCCTCCACGTCCTTCGAGATGATCTAGGTGCATGGAGATTTTCACAGGTATTGCTCACTTCAGGTAAGACCACTAGTCCTTCTGTCTCAAAGAATCTTCTCGTCTCAGGGAAGGCCTGTCATCAAATACTCACCCTTCCCAGCAGTGATCGTGACTTGCTCCAGTCAACACACGTTTATAACACAGGTATTTGAGACAGATAACCAGTAGAGCCTGAGTATAACCAGTAGAGCCTGAGTAAAGATTTAACCCCCCCATACACACAAAGATTTAATACGTTTAGATGCCACTGATAATTAGTCCTGCTCACATTTGCTGAGCAATCCACATTCTGAGGTATTTCTTATGATCTCCGCTAAACCACTAACTTGCCAGAAAGTCTATTTCCAAGAGGAAGGCTCCTTAATCAGAGCTGCAGAGTTTTGCCCAAGTGAAAAAGGAAAGCACAGACTCCCACGAAACAATCCTGCAACCTACAGATTTCAGCTCACTCATAACTCCCAGTGGGGGACACAATTAATTCCCTGAATGTAATTTCCGAGCTATGTTCTACCTGGGCAGCTTTCAGACTCGTCTGTCCACTTATTAGTGGAGCTAAAATTCAGGAGGATTACCAGCTGATGCCATCTACGAACGTGCTGCAGTACTTCCACTGACAGAAATATGCTTACCATTAGCTGCAAAGCTAACTCAGTGCAGGCCACTAACGATCTAGTGACAAGTCCCCTGATAACAGCACATGTGCATACTAAACTAACTTGTGTTCTCCCAGAATTTTCCTCCTTTCCCATGGAGACCAAAAAGAGAACCACTGTAGCTTATTTAGTGATAACTGGGGCCAAAGGCTCTTATGACCAGGAACACTGGCCCACCTAAACAAAGCAAACATCAGCATGGCTTCTGCAGCTCTCAGGAATATTCCAGAGCTTCACTTATAGTCTGGACTCCTTCTCTTACTCTGCTCCTGAAGGTCAGTGAATGGGACTCCATCACATTTCACCGAGCACAGCTACCCAAGGGATCCAGCTTCCTGCCCGTCTCCAATCAGCCTCCCACTAAGGAGTATCTGCAAACGTGAAGGACGCAGCAATAAGAATGCCTTTGGGGGGAGGATGCAACATAAGCAGCACCAGAAGGCTTGGAGCATCTGTTGGAAGTTTCCAAAAAGATCCAAGGTCCTGATTTCCGCAATAATACACATGCAGAGATGGATGCTACCCCATCCAGCTGAGGCTGGTTCACCCACACAGCTCTTCCCTTAATGGAGCACCGTAAGATGCCAACATCACAAGGAACGCCTGCACATTCCAGTTTTCTTTCTGTGCTGGTAGTGCTGACAGCTGAAATGCTCTTCCCGTTCCGGACATCACATGTTCTTTCAACACAGATCTGTGGCACCAATACTTTTTCTTGCCCCTAAGACCGTGCTAACAGCAGCGTGAGAGCTCCACAGCCACTTAAAGGCCACCATAAGATCATCTGAGTGATCCACAAGATCACTTGCGCAGAAGCTGCCTTCCTTCCTGCTCCTTTGCAAGATTTGTGAGCACAAATTCCACAGCAAGAGGGAAGAGACAACTCACTGCAGACAAGTAACAACAGAAGCAAGAGGAACAGATTCCTCAATGTGCTTCTCTGCCGCAGGAGACTCGCAAACGCATCTGAACACCTCAGACTTCCTCCAGGCTTTGGCACTACCTCTAACAGCCATGCACAACACTTAATTCAACCCCTTCGACTCACCGTTTACCTTCTTCCTGGAAATGTGCCAGAAGAGGTAGAAGGCAGCCTGCATCTTCAAAACACCGTTTGGATGCCAAAACGTTGTAGAATCTCATGTCAAAAAATATACCCTAACCACAGTGACCTGCACGAAGGATGGAGGTGGGTGGGTGATTTAAGCAGCTTTAAAATTCTGAAATGGAAGTGAGGCGATATGGAGGCTGATGGAGCAATCGCTGGAAAATACATCTGAGCTTCAAATTAATAAAAAAATAGAGAGAGATACAGAGAGATTGGTATTCAACTTCCAACCTTATTCTGCAATAGCAGCCACTGAGAAGCTCAAGTCTGAGCGCTCAGAGCTGAGGCAGCTTTTGCTAAAGCTCTTTCTGCTAGTGCTGCCACAGAGCCTTGCTATCGCAGCGACACGGAGGAAGGAGTGCCAGCCCTCCCCTTCGCTGGGAACCCACTGTGTCAAACCCAGCTCTTGAAATAACAGCAGGAAGGGCTATAAATAATGACGGTATCTTTAAACAATCTGGTTAAGCAGGTGGACAACGTGAATCGCCACAGTATTTACTGTCAAACAGTGAGGGTAAAGATGGATTTCAAACATCCATATTCATCTCCATCCTGCAATTCTGTAATATAGCAACAATTACAAAAGACATGCACCGTTTTCTTTTGAAAGTCAGACTGAATCCTTCATCTGGATGCCTAAATTGAATACTTACTTCGCAAGACCTCGCTGTTAAAAGCCCATGTCACCTTTTGCTCTCAGAGAGAACACGTGAGCCAAACCTTTGAAAATCAGCCAGCTCTGTCCCCAGAGGGCAGCAGCGAAGGAGCCAACTCAACTGTTTCAAACCAGTCAGGCAAAGCGACACACTGCTCAGACCAACCAACTCCAAAGACAAAGTCGGCCTGAGCTGTAACCTGCCATTAGCACACCAACCAGTAATGATGAAAAAGCCACCATGCCATCAGGAGAACAGCACGTGGTTGGAGAGAGGAGGCTGAAAAGCTCCAAAGATTAAGGATTATCGCAGCTGGTCAGAAAAAAAAAGCTTGCTAACCTGAAGATGCAACAGTGAACTAGAGCGCCCAGGACACCAGGCTAACTACGATCTTGCAACCTCCACAGGACAAGTTTCAGGCCCTAACCATCACAAACTGCTAAAAGAGAAATAATCTTGCAACTTCACGTGGGATTGTGAGAGAAAAAACATTTCAAGCAAATTCAGAGAGCTCCTGACTTCAGCGGTTCCATACGCAGGTCGCAGAACCTGAAATTAAAATTGTGACTGCTCCTTGGGCACAGAAAGTCTGATCTCTCCCAGAAGTTACCTACGATGCACAGGCGAGCCCTGAAGAGCTGTACCAACATCTGCCTCACCAGAATTCCTTATTACAGAGAATATACTTACTGTTCCGGCCAGGATATCATGAGGACAGCAATCCAGGAGGTGGCTCTTGCAAACACGATCGTCTGTAAACTTCACCCTTTGTCTGGTTTCATCTCCTGAAATTCATTTGTGATTTTAAATAAGGAGACATTAGAATACCGGTAAGAGAAAAAAGACGTCGGTATGATCATTTCGCCTCAATATGCAGATTAAAATACTTGGTGTTCCTGCTCCCCAAAATTACTCAGAAAAAGCTTAGAGGGTAACAGGATATTCTGGAACACTTATAATTGGCAACAAACACTATTTTAGCGTTTATTCATCCAGTACACCATGTTAACACAGTGTTGGCGAGCCAAGTAACGTCCAAGGCCTGTCATCCATATAAAGAGACAGCACAGCCAGAAGAGAAAAAAGGAGACAGACAGTCTGGCTCACAGCCAAAACCTTTTATTTTTTTTTCCCCCCCCTTTTTTACTGTGAGGAAGGGGCAGGAGGTACCGAAACCCACACTATCGGAGGGCCATGAATCACAAAACAGGGCTGTGCTGGACAGTTTTTATAGGCGATTGCTATTTGCTCATCTGATAATTAAGATATCGGTCCATTTGGTTTGAAAACCAAATCTGCAGTGTGCTTTCCAAGGCCGTGCAAAGATGAATCTTGTAGGTCTTGGCCTGGAACACGAAGCGTGCTTCCCACCCACGTCCCACCCTCAGGAGACATTTTACACTCAGGAGCCACTTAAACAAGACAATATCAGAAAAGCAAAAAAATAAAAATTAAAAAAAGAAACAAAGTTAGTCAATACACACTGCGAGCTCCAACATATACTATACCCATCTGCATTCTTCAAGACCTCAGCTGCAGAATTTTATGCCCACTGTTGAAAAGTTTTAAAGGAAAAGTTTTCTTGCCCACACCTGCAGTAAGGAAGTCAGGGGAATGATACATAAAAGTAAAGGCAAAGTGGTAATGGTATGTGACAATTTTAAAGCTCATCTGTGTATATGACACAGGTATGTGTAATACTAAAGTATGAATATAGTTTAGGATTCGCAAGCATCCAGGAATAATGTTGTGTCTACTGAAAATGTTTCTTTTATTTATTTTTTTTTTCTTTCTAAGCTACACTTTTAAAGTTACTTGTGAAAAAAAAGCAAACACTTTTTTTTTTTTGTTATAACAGCTTTAAAAATTGGTTGTGACTCACGGCTCGATGAACATGAGGCTTTTCTGCAACTCCCTTGCAGATTGATGTAGGCAGGCAAAGATACACTGAACCTTTATAAATAAAATAGAGGGGCCACAATTGTTCAGTTTGTATGAAATAAAAATATGGGAAGCAATTCAATAGCAACTCAATACACAAAGAAAGAAAAGCACTTATTCACTTACGAAACAAAGTGCAAAGTACCTGAACAGCCCTGCTAATGTGCCAAAGGGAATTTAAGTACTCAGCAGGTCGCAGAAAGGAGATACAAACCGCAGCGGGAAGGCATTTTGCACAGGCTGTCACATTTCTTTTCTTGGACAACAACTACAGCGGCCGGCTCCCGCCAGCACACCTACCTACATGCCTCTGTACGTACGGCGCGGCCCGGGCACGGAGCTTTCCCTAAAACCTCTCCGCGGCAGCGGGGGCCCGGAGCGGCGGGCTCCTCCCGGGGCTGGGCCACGCCGGGCGCTTTCTAGGGCCAGGGGCG